CCTGATTCTGGTATATACATTCTGGTTCACCAAATAATATCATGTGAGGTCTCAAATAAAAGCCGGGGTCACACTGGCTATTAATATCATCATGAAATATATGTACAGATACTTTTGCATATATACTGAAAATATATGCTTACAGTCTGTATCAAGGTGTCAGTCACCAGCAGAGGTAAAAAACATGTTTCCTGTTAGACAAGAGATGTTAATTCACCTGTCTCTCTATTAGCTTACAATGATTAGTTTATATACTAACACAATGGATGCCCTTCTACATACAGAGTCAAATGCTAACCAAGAGATGTGAAATCAACAGGAAATAGGAAAAAACAAACCACAGGGGGTTATTCTGGCTAAGAGTAAAGACAATGAACTTTGGGGTTATAGCTAAGGGGCAAACCAGACACCCCCTTATCCTGTACTTAGGAAGTAAACTGACATCACATTTACAATGATGAAAACAGGACCTTAACCAGACTTGGCTAAAAAACTCTGCAGAGGTGAGACTTCGAGTGAGATAAACTTCTTTGGACAGGTTAACCTGTTAGTTAAGTTTAGTCTCTAGAAAGTGTATTATGATTTTGTTTTATATGTAACCATTTGTTTCCAGTATTTTTACTTACTGTCCGTTTAATCTTCAATCTTTGATAATAAATTTATTCTGTAAACATATATAAGAGCTGAGACGTTAAGCATAGTATTGATTCTGAGTTGAATCTTACAAGCTGGTCTGCTCTTTTCCTTTGAGAACAGCAGACCTGGTAGTTCTGTAAGTAGCCAGTGTCAGGCTGGATATCACAGGGAAATGCTTCAAAGGGACTTGGGGACGGGGTGAACCTATTGTTAAACTGCAATGCAAAGTAAGGGCTGGCATAGCCCAGAGGAGAGTGCTTAACTAACACTCAGCTAAACACAAAAAAGACTCCCTGGCACTGGAGGGAGTGGAACATGGTAACTCACAGGCCTGAGTACCCCAGTAAAATCTTGTTGTCCCAGTTTTCATAGTCTATAGAATATTCTAATCATTTGTATTCTTTTAAATTTGTGGACAACATGAACCCGGGAGGGGTTCCAAGCACTTTGGAGGACAGGAATAGAAGTCAGAAGGATTTAGATATATTGTAGAATTGGGCTGAAAGCAGCGAGATGAAATTCAGTAAAGACAAGTGCAAAGTAATCATTTAGGAAGGAAAAATCAAATGTGCAACTACAAAATGGGTAATAGTTGGTCAGGGTCTGGGGATTATAGAGGGTCACAAACTGAATATGAGCCAACAATAAGGTGCAATTGCAAAAAAAAAGGCAAATATTCTGGGATATACTAACAGGTGTGTCATATGTAAGACATGAGAGATAATTGTTCTACTCGACTCACCTTGGCCACTGGCATGTCGCATCTCAGCTGGAGTATTTTGTTTTGGGCACCACACTTTATGAAAGATGTGGACAAATTGGAGAGAGAACCTAGAGGAAAGCAACAAAAATAGGAGATTTAGAAAACCTGACTTTATGAGGAGAGGTTGAAAGAACTGGACATACTTGGTCTAGAGAAGAAAAGGCTAAGGGGCGACGTAACAGATTTCAAATACGTAAAAGGTTGTTATAAACAGGATGGTTGTCAATTGTTTTCAATGTTCACTGAGGGTAGGACAAAAAGTAATTGCCTAAGTTCGCAGCAAGAGAAATTCAGGTTAGATATTAGGAATAATTTTCTAATTGTAAGGATAGTTAAGTAATGGAATAGGATGCCAAGGGAGGTTGTAGAGTCCCTATCACTGGAAGTTTTTAAGAACAGGTTGGGCAAACACTTGTCAGGGATGGTCTAAGTATACTTGGTTCTGCTTCAGTTCTTGGGGAATGGACTCGATAACCTCTTGAGAGCCCTTGAAGCCCCACATTTCTGTGACTTATAGCTTGCATTTTGCTTTGTATTGTACATTTTATTTTGTTGATTATTTAAAATTAAGTCAGTATGGGGCTGTTAAAATTACAGATTATAATAAACCATAACTTTAAATCAGAACTATTGCAAAGTTTGTACAGTTAATATCTACATCATGGATCTGAAACTACTCCCTCTGCTTAGATTTTATGTTGCATCTAAAATTGGAAGGGTCTATTTTTCCAGTTCAGATTTCAGTCTGACCAAAATCTTGTGATTTTCAATCTTCAAGATGGCTGAAATCTCACATCATCAGTCAACTACCTATACTTTCAGCTAAAATCTTGTGAAAACATCTTGAGATGAGCATGATTTGCATCAGACTTATATGTTGCCTCTTTGGTGTTTCTCTAGCTAGAATGCTAAATTCACTCTTTTAAAGAAGCTGCCATAATTCTCACTATAAAACTGCAAAACTGATAAAAACAGGTGATTTACAAAGCTTTTCTTTTTATAAATTAGTAAATTATTATTTTAAGGGAAAAAACCTCATACCTAGCAAAACCACACTTGCAGCTTTTCAGGTGTTTGCTAACTTTAAACAGTACTTATAATTATTAGTTCATATGGTGCCCAAAATTGTCCTGGGTGCTTGACAGAACAAAGGCCAGGGTTTTACAGTCTAATTTCTAGGTCATGGTACAAAGAGTGAGCATACCATACAGTAGTATGGAAGGGGTGTGAGAGGACAGGAGCTACATTAGTAAGATCACACAGCTGATGGATGAACATGTAATGATTTTACTATTTGTATTACCTAGCTTGAGGAGCCCTAGTCATGGACCAGGACCCCATTGTGCAAGCGCTGTAGAAACATGGGGGGAAAAAAGAGGTTCCCTGCCCCAGACAACTTATATTAACTGTTAAAATGACACATACAGAAGATCAAACTAGTAACTATCTTGAGTATTCAGAAACAAACTTAAAAAGAAAAGTCATATGCATTTGTCTGAATTTAAAAAGCTACTACTTCATGCTCCTATTGCTTCTTTGGGTTAATTTTTTCTAATGAACATAAAATGCAAACTTACTGTTAAACACCTTCTTAACACCTCTTTTTTTTCTCTCTCTCTCTCTCTCACTAGAAAGAAGAATACAAATGCAAAAAAGGTGAACTATTTCCTGGACTGGCCACAACATATCGGTATATGTACAAAGTGTTTAGAAACTTGTACTTGTCAACTTGCCAAACTGGTTTTTGCTGCACATCTGACAGGATGAACAAGCCAAAGAGAGGCTTTTTGTTGTATTGGAAGAATAGTGACTGCTGCCTGGTTTAAAGTAAACTTAAGACTGCATGCATTTGCCTGACGAAATGAAAGAAGTGGCATTTTGGTCACCCAAAGAGGTGGCAAATTGGCTGATGGAGAATGCTGTGCCAGAATACTGTGAACCATTGGAATTTTACACTGGGCAGGATTTGATCAATCTAACTAAGGAGGATTTTAAGAAGCCACCTTTGTCACGTGTGTCTTCTGACAATGGACAGAGGTTGTTGTACATGATAGAAACTTTAAAAATGGAGCACCACATTGAGGCGCACAAAAATGGGCATGCCAATGGTCACCTCCGCATCAGTACAGATGTCACCACAAGTGAAAATGATTTCAGCACTAAAATCAAACTGAATGGGATGCCAAATGGATATAGGAAGGAGATGATAAAGATCCCCATGCCAGAGCCAGAGCGTTCCCAGTATCCTATGGAGTGGGGGAAGACTCTCCTGGCTTTTCTTTATGCACTTTTCTGTTTCATCTTTACCACAGTGACGATCTCAGTCGTCCATGAACGAGTGCCTCCCAAGGAGGTGCAGCCTCCCCTACCAGATGCATTTTTTGACCGTTTTAACCGTGTGCAATGGGCCTTTTCTATTTGTGAAATTAATGGCATGATCCTTGTAGGACTCTGGTTAATTCAATGGCTGCTCTTAAAATACAAGTAAGTACAATTTTTTGCAATGGTGGTGTTTGATATACTAATCGCTTTTGGGAGAAGCAGGGGTTTAAGGTATAAAACTGAAATCTTTGAAGTGTTTTTAAAAGTGTTCCATTTTCTTGGGGTGATTTTTTTTAAGTCAATGTACTCTTGGCAGACTCAGAAAAATCTAAATCTGTATCACATAGTCTATATAGATTTTTTTGGAGAGTATATATTTTTGTTCATAAAGTACAGAAGGAAGCTAATCCTAAATACTGTGGTTAGTATAAATATGTGGGCTTGTCTTTACTTCAGAGTGAACTCAAGTATTGCCACAAATTCAAGTCCTGGCCACTCACAAAAAACATTAACTTTTGAATGTGGTGGTACTTTTAACTCAAGCTAGGTCACAGCTTGAATTAACACAGCTCAATAGCACAACTCCTCAGCTGTTCTCACAATCATTCTGCATACCTCAAGTGTTCAGTTTGTCAGTGTGCCCACTCACTTGAGTTAGGCCAGCTCAAGTGTAGATAACTGGAGTTAACTCCATAGTGAAGACATATGCTAAAATGATTATATCACATTTTTAAAAGTGCAAAAGAAGATAAACAAACAAATATAGTGAAAAACACATAAAAGACTCAAACCGTATCGTGAATAAAACCACATGAATAGTTCCGGGATTTCTGCATCTTAGCTAGCCATTTTAAGATATATGGGTTTTGTCTTCCATGAGATGGGTAAGATAATGTCCACCTTAAACTACCAGTAGATAAACCAGTTTGGTAACTGATTAACATCAGATTTATCTCCTGTTAAGCTCTGTCAATGAAGTAGTCAGAGCATTGACTTTTACCAGTATCAGGATTTTCATATCTTGTCACTTTTTTTTTTCCCCAAAGAGCAAGAATAAGCATATTTGAGATCCAGAAACCAACTATTAAACATCCAAAAAAGCAGTCTTGATAATCAGCATTGGACAGAATTGAACATGACATCAGAGGGTGCTCACAGAGTATGGCCACTAGTAAAGTGGCGTGTTCAAGAGTGTCATTGAAAGGAATGGAATGCTACATAAACTTTCATGGCCCTTGACTACAGAGTATGTCAGAATTGTCTACATGGGCTTGGCAGAAAAGCCTGAGGTGTGAAAATTGAATGACACTTTCATATAATTTGCTTGATAAATCAAAGTGGGTTCGCACAATTTCCCCTTCAAAAATAAATCCATAAATTGCCCCATCACTATATCAGTTATACCCCCGGCATTCCATGCATTCTAACATCAGTTAATCATTTTTCTCATGCACCCTGCTGCCTGCACATTTCTTCACTTTCCTCTTTTCATACAGTGAAGTAATTCTCCTTTATCCATCTGCATTCTGTTCTGAAAAGGTTTCATACTCTGCCTAACTCCATGATATCTGAGCCACCATAATTAATCCCCTCATTCCCTACAGTCCATCAGTACTCTGTGCCTTTCCCACGTCCACAGTCCACATGTTCCCTCTACCCCTTCATCTTTTCTCCTAGAGTCTGGTGCCTGGCTTATTTTCTCAGCAGTAATTCCCTATTGGCCATTTCTGTTTCTTCCTTCAGGCAAACTTAGCAGTATAGGGCTGAGGGAAATGGGCCAGTGATTGAAACTCTCTCCTCCCCAGCCAGCTGCTCAGTATTCTTCTCTCTCTCCAAGCTCCCTTTGTGTGTCTCATAGGAGGAAGACTGGGAGCTGAGGGCACACTTAGGACAAGACAGGATTGGCATAGGCATTATTGGTTTGTGCTAGGACCCCTAGCTCCCGGAGTAGTGTGGTGAGTTTGGAATCTCAAATTTCATTTAAAAAAAAACAAGCAAGTTTCTAGAGCTTGTTGCAAAGAAAACCTTGAAAATATGACAAGTATACCCAAAGCCGTAATATCTGCTTGGGTCTGCAGACAGCCTGGAACAATAGCTTTGAGTGGCATGAAATATCCCATGCATCTCTGGGAGGCAGAGTAGCTGGCAGGAGGGCCAGGCACTGCTTGTTCTATAGGCCTGCAGTATGTACATATATGCAATCAAACAAAAAGTTAGAATGTATGTATAATATTTATATACATTTGCTAGAATAATGTGTGACGTTCTGGTCACTACATCACAAAAAAAGAAAGAGAAGAAATATAAGGGTTCAGAAATAGGCAATGATTATTAGAGACACTGAGTGTGTCTACGCTGTAATGAAAGGCCCATGGCATGGGCTCGCAGGGCTCTGCTGCAAGACTATAAAATTGCAGTATAGAGGTTCAGGATTTCAGAGCCCAGGCTCTAGCCCGAGCCCAAACGTCTACACTGCAGTAACAACAAAAATTCAGGTGGCATCTTAAAGACTAACCGATTTATTTGGGCATAAGCTTTCGTGGGTAAAAAAACTCACTTCTTCAGATGCCACCCGCTTCCTTGTTGTTTTTGTGGATACAGACTAACACGGCTACCCCCTAATACTTGATACACTGCAGTAAAAATCCCAAAGCCTGAGCCCCCCGAGCCCATGTCAAATGACCCAGGCTCTGAGACTCAAGCCTTGGCTACACTTGCGAGTTACAGTGCAATAAAGCTGCCCACAGCGCTGTACCTCACTCCCCGACCACACTGGCAAGGCACGTACAGCGCTGTGTCTCCCTGGCTACAGCGCTGCAGGTACTCCACCTCCCCGAGAGGAATAAGAGATGCAGCGTAGTGGCTACAACTCCCAGGTGTCAGTGTGAACAAGGAGTTATCTTGCTGCGCTGTGATAATCCCCTTATCAAGTGGCCACTCTTTTTTTCCATTGTTGTGATCAGCTCCAGGAATGCGGAAGTGCCATTTCAAAGCTCCCTACCGGAGAGAAAAAGCAAACATTTTGCTGTTTGCTTTGAGTGAGTGAATGAGAAGCAGGGGGGGCAGGGGGGTCGGAACTTCAAAGGCAGCGTGCTGACACACTCTCAGTACCCCAAAACCCACTGTCTCTCCCCCCACACTCCCTGTCACACTCCACCCCCCCCCTTTTGAAAAGCACGTTGCAGCCACATGAATGATGGGTTAGCTGCCCATAATGCACTGCTCCCAATGCAGCTGCAAACGCTGCAAATGTGGTGACGCCCAGTGCGCTGTCAGCTGTCAGTGTGGACAGACTGCAGCGCTTTCCCTACTTAGCTGTACGAAGGTGGGTTTAACTCGTAGCACTGTACAGCTGCAAGTGTAGCCATACCCTCAGTGCTGCCGGTTTTTATTGCAGTGTAGGCATACACCGAAAGACTTACATGTGAGGCAAGTTGAAAATTAGGACTCTTCAGTTAAGAGAAGATGAGCAAGTATACACATGATATAAATATTTAATAGTGAATGGAGAGGGACATTATTCTCATAATACATGAACAAGGATACATCCAATTAAATTGAAAGGCAATCAGTTTAAAACTGATTAAAATAAATATTTTAATACATAGTGAATATTTGCATGTGGAACTCACTGACCCAAGATATGATTGAGACCAAGATCTCTGCAAAATTCAAAAAAGCATTATACATTTCTATATAAAGGGTACGTCTATACTTACGTCATGGTCCGGATGTAAGCGATCGATCTTCTGGGATCGATCCCGGAAGTGCTCGCCATCGACGCTGGTACTCCAGCTCAGCGAGAGGAGTACGCGGCATCGACAGGGGAGCCTGCCTGCCGCGTCTGGACCCGCGGTAAGTTAGGACTAAGGTACTTCGAATTCAGCTACGTTATTAACGTGGCTGAATTTGCGTACCTTAGTCCGAAGTGGGGGGTTAGTGTGGACCAGGCCAAAATGAGAACATCTGCAGTTATGCCAGATAGGTTAAAAAATAACAGATATGAACCAAGAACACTAAAAAATGACATATGAAATAATAGATATGAACCACTAACGTGGTAAAAAAAAGCTTCTATCTGTGGGCAGATTATTCCATAGTTGTCCATTGCAGAGTTTTTTGAAGCTTCCTCTGAAACATCTGGGTACTTGACCACTGGCAGAGACAGGAAAACGGACGTGGTGGGCAATAACTCTGATTTGCTAGGGAATTTCCTGCGTTCCTATTAGGAGTACAATTCCAGAAAAGTTTACATGGATTAATCTGAGCAACTCCAATTTAAAGAAATACTGTCAAATTTGAATTTGTATACTCTTTTTTAAAATTAGACTTCTGATAGATTACCCTTTAAATGGTAAGATCTCTTTTTAAAAAATTCTATTTAAATAATTGTGTAATTTTCCAGCTTTTCTGCCAACATATATAAAGATCTTTCCAACATTAGAGGGTGGGTGGGCATGAGAATGACTTCCAGATGTTCTTAAGCATTACACTGAACAAAATATGGGTGCTTGGAAAATTCAATGCAATAAAATTTTACTCAGCCACTAGCATGGGAGGAATTTTCTCCACCCATTCCTCTGTTCTGCTATTCTGCTCTTTGGTGTCGGTGGTAGCATTTGTATGAATAGTTAATTGTTTCCCTGGGAAACAAAACTATATTCAGACTTCCAGCTCTTGAAACAATGCACCATTTTAAAGAGTACTATCATCCAAAAGGCTCTTTTGCTATCTTCAACTTCTTTTCAGGAGGATCTGCTATTTTAAAAAATATTCTCCAAAATACTATGAATCCCTTCATCTAATGCCGAATTTCCAAGATGCTCATGCAGGCTGTGCACAAGTACCTGCTTCATATATGCAGATTACATTTATGTACACTGTATGTTGAACAGAATAAAATATGATCAGGAGTTGCCCTTCTAGTGAGAGAAGTGAGCTATGGACTGTTTTATAGTTTGTTTATACATTTACAAAAGACATCGTCAAGAATAGCTCTCAATTCTGCTTTTGAGGGGCTTCGTGGAGTCTCTCTTTTCATTTTATAGGTCTTAAAGTGATTGTGCCAGTCTCATTCATATTTCCTTTTTTCGAAAGGGTAGGGAAGAAGGAGCTATGGTACAAAATGTGGATACAAATCAGTATGGGTATCAACTTCCCCA